AGGGCGCAAAATAGCGATTTGGGCAAAGTTTTGAGTGCATCAATAGACCATATATATTAAACGCGAAGCAGCACAATGGCTAAAGTTTGACTTGACGTGCTTAAAGTTGGCTTTAAGCAGCGAGAAATAGGCAGTCAATGATTAAAGCTCCACAAAAATGATATAGTTTTAATATAAATTGATTGATTTCTTAGCTTAACATTGCATTTATGTAACAGCTTAATTTTTTTTAGAACGAAACACAACTACTTGTTCACAGGGCTAAGCTTTTGGTTTGATTACCATTTTATAAAAAATAATAATTTCGTTTTTTAATTAATTAATATAATACTTAATTTATACGAAATGTAAGGGCACTGAAATAAAATCATATTTTGCTGATTTAAAAATTGTACACACTTTTATTTGCATATTAATGCATTTCTAGTTTTGATGCTCGAAAATACTTTTAGTCAAATCAAAGCTTAATTGTCTAACATGGCCAAAGAAATCTGGTTTTAATTGAACGCAATGTAAAAAAGATTTTTCACCCATCAATGAAAAATGAATTTGTTTTTGGCTTTCAGGTGCAATTAATATCTGTGTTGCATTTCGCAGGAAATGGCACGAATGTGATGACGACTCACTAATTGATCAGTGAGAAATGAAAGATGAAAATATTTTTGCGCAATTATGATGGCTTTCGATGAGCAGTCAATGAATTGAGACCGCAATCTACAGAGATATTAAGTAAGTTAATACGCTTGCCAGATGAATTCAAACGAAAAATATTTTTAATTGCGGAATTTCATTTATGATACGCTCCCTTTGCCGAAGAAATCTTTTTGCCGAATGCCGAATTAAAGCATTTTGTATTTTCCAAAGCAGCGACGTATGTGCACTATTTAAATGAACATCGAGCGTAGAAATTCAAGCCTCATCAGCTTAGCGTTTAGGGCGGCCATTTACCCGGAAAAGCTCCGGTAATTGGAAAAAAATCAATTAATTGGAATCGTGCATAATGAATGTCGGACAAACGTGTTTACAAGACCGAAAGGGCAAACAAACCGATTTCCGATGACAAAATTACTCATTTACAATGCAATTTTGACGCTGCATATGTGAACTTATAGATGTATGTATATATATACTCAAATATATATATATACTGGCGGGCATGTATTACATTGTAGCCTCGTTGCTTTTATTGCGATGGACAGTAAATCATTGACCGAAATTGGTGCGCTTCAGTGGAGAGCTGAGCAAACACGGCGTAAATTAATAAATATTAAAATGTCCAGCCATGTTGGCCATGTTGGCCAACTCCCACTCCCACTGACTGCTGGCTGGCTGGCTGACTGCTGCTGGTTCGCCCATCCGGGCACTTGAGAGTGAACAAAGCGATAAAAAGCACAAAACACTCGACCAACGAGCAGAGAACGTGGCAGTGGGAGTGGGACAGAGCAAACAAACTTCTGAGCCATTACACAACAAAATGGCGTTAACAGCGCAGCAAAAATGGCGAACAACTCGAGCTGATCGACTGGCTTTATACCCTCGAAGAGCCCTCCATTCGGCTGGAAGCTTCCGGTTCCGGCGGTGCCAAAATGGCCAACGTGAACTGCATTTGATGGGTGCCTTGCAAACCAGGCGAAACAATATATAAACAACAATTCAAATGCAGAGAGCACACACAAACCAGCAGCACACACACACACACACACACACACATACCAGCAGCACACACACACTCACACGCTGGTGGAATTGAAATAATATTTTCACATTCCATGTTGCCAAAAGGTTTATCCAGCGAACAGACGGAAGTGAAAACTCTCAAACGGCGTCGCAAAAAGTGCAGGAAAAGCAAGTGCAACCACAGATGGACAGCAGCACCACGGGGAGTTAAGCCGCCCATTTCTGAGTGGGTTAAGGTGGGTAAAGGGGCGTGGGAGGGGGTGGCCAGAAATATGCAATGATAATCAGAAAAGCAAACACGAAGTGGGAACTCCATGAGGGCCATCAGGATCAGCATTTGCATCCGCATCAACGTCAACATCAGCAGGCGAGCTCTGTGGGATTTCCCCTTGGCTGCTGCTGGTTGCTGGTTGCTGGTTGCTGGTTCTGGTTCTGGCTGCTGATGCCCCTGTTTGCCAGTCAATCAATGGTGGGAGTACACTGTACTGTACTCTGTGCCGTACCAACCGCACCACCACCGTGTGGTTGCACCCCGCACTCCGCACCCCGCACCACACGACCTCTGCTAATTGTGATGGATTAATTGGCCAGACCAGGCAGAACCACAATGTTTAGATGCATTTTTAAGGCCAACGACAATTGTGCTAATGGTCCAATTGACTTTTGGCACAGAACGGGGCTCTCGTATTCAACGGGCAACAGGTGGTTTTGGTCCTTGAAGGACAAAAAGAGCTGTGCAACCGAAGAGTTAAAGGGTTGCAGTCAGCAGTATTTAATTCAGATGCAACCATTCATCACAACACAACAACAATTGAAAATGAGCAAAAAACAATTCATTTGAATTAGTTGGAAACAATAAATACTTAATAAGGCATTAATTGCCTAACTCTTCTAATGGCCACTCAATAAAAAATACAATCAAATTAGCCGCCGCTGCGCTTTTATTTTATTTCCTTGACCTGCATTATTGACGCCGCTTCTCGCTGACCACTTGACTATTTATTTATTTATTTACAGGCAACATTTCAATTAAATTTCAATTTATTTCTGCGAGCTCATTGATTATGCATGGCAATTAATTTTATGCAATTTTCAGTGCGCAATATTTTCAATTAGTGCGTCGAGTGGCGGAGTGGATTTTTCAAGGGTCCGACATGGAAAGCATAATATGCTAACTACGCTAGCTACACACACCGACTGCCACGCCCACTGGTTGTAATTAATACAGCAGGGAAGGGGAGGGGAGAAGGTGGCGGAGGCATTCCAGAGATTGGTTGGCTTCGGCTCCATGCAAAAGGATTAGACAGAGGACACAAACACAAAAGCCGGGCTAAAACAGTGGCAGGCATATTGAATGTCCGAGGAGCAGACAATTAGTTGCACATGTGACAAATGCAAGGCCAGGCAAAATAAAGTGGTAACAACAATGGGGGAGGGGGCAAACTAAAGGGGGAGGGGGAGGTAAAGGGTATCTGCAGCATGGCTGGCATCTAAAATTGCATTTAAATAATGAAAAAGGCTTAGACAAAAGAACGGTCAAACAAAGGCAAACTGCAGCCAAATGGCCAACAAAAAGTCGAACTGCAGAAGAGGAGAGGAGAGAAGGGAGGAGAGGAGAATCAGAAGGGGAAAAAGACGAACGGACGAACGGATGGAAAGGAAGGAAGGAAGGAAGGAAGGAAGTAGCTTGGCTAAAATCAAGAACATGTAAATACAGTCGGGCCAACGTTTGACGCTTGGCTGGCCACTGCCAAAACTCTCCATCCCCTCGAACCCTCAACCCCTCCAACGATCCAACCCTCCAACCCCGTGACCTCTGAACCCAGACGGATCCGAGAAGAGAATTGTAAATTACAGTTGCATTCACTCATCGGGAAATTCTTCTTCTCCGGGGATTCATGAATAAATGATGGCTCAACTCTGCTCCCACTCAGCCATCGGATATATAGTGTGCATATATGCAATGCCTGAAGGGGGGTGGGGGAGGGAAATTTGATACTCACCTCATTAGCACTCTGTTTGGCCCGGCCAACGCGGCGTATGCGTAATAAGCGACACCGCCCCAGTGGCACATGCAAATAAGTGGCTAATTAGGCGCTGATTGATGCCTCTTCATGAGCCAACAGCCAACAACCAACGCCCAACGCCAGTTGGCCAGCTACACAGTATGGTAATGAATGGCCGCCAGTCGGAACTGTTCCGAGAAGATATGGCCAAACTTGTTGGCCAGAAAAAGGGGGCTTCCGCACAGCCAAAAGAACCGCAGAGAGCAGGCGGCTGGAACTAAGCGCCTTAAGGCAGCAGCTCCCCCTCCCCCCTTTCCCCTTTCCCTTTTTACCAACTTTTCCCCTGCCAATGTGTGTGTGCGTGTGTGTGGGTGTGTGTTAGCCTCCTTCACTCATCAGCTGCCAGTTGTCAATTGTCAGTTGTCACTTGGCTGCCTCATGTGGCCTGCTAATGCGATGCGTTGCGCTGCGTTTCGTTTTGGGATGCGATGCGATGCAATGCCAAGCGACGCGCATCTGAATGATGCAGCAACGTTGGCAAATCGCCGGTTGCAAAATGCCAACTGGCAACTGGAAAAGTCAGATAGGCAGCTCACTAATTGCCACTGAGCACTGAACAGGCAAAACCGAACGGAGGACGAATGGCAATGGAGATGGATGAGAAGGAGGAGGAGAAAGAGGGGGAGAAGGAGGAGAAGTGGGAGGAGGAGGAGGAGAAGGGGAAGGTGAAGGAGGGGGAATCGCCAAGCCATGAGATCGCGTTGGTTATGTGAAGCCATTCCAGGGTCGACTTTTCCGAGGAGGGAAAAGCGGGAAGATTAGGACTCCTGGGAAAATCTGCGGTTGCCGCCAGTCTTTAACCAACTGGCTGAAAACTTGGTTCACCAATTTTCTATTTCTATTTCTGTGAAATGAATCCATGTGAGGGCGTTCCTTAAAGTAGTCGAAAAAGCACACATTAATTAAGCGATTTTTCGAATTACGCTTTTCGGTTTACAATAGTATAACATAATTTCTATGACTTAACTTTTTATGATCCGCCAATTTCAACATTTAAATGAATACAAGAATATCATTGAACAAGAATATAATTGAACAAGAATATCATTGAACAAGAATATTATCATTGCAAAGTGGTTTTCAACATTTCCTCTTTTTCCAAAGTTTTGGGCTTAGCTTAATATTAAGCTATAGTATCAATTATTGAATTATTATTGCAATGAAAAAAACCCCTGCTGCTGTAAGTATCAAATTGTACATTCGTAATTATTTAGAAACAAATTTGACTATTTAATAATTTTACCGAAATGCAAGGAATCTTCTTAAATAGTATTTTCTTTATTTAAACATAAATATAAACATTTTTACACAATTCTCTTAACAAAATTCTAAAATAGTCACAAGCACTGGCCATTGAAAAGTGATCACTTCATAATAACTAACTCAAGGCCAGTCCTTATTGGGTTTTTAGGTCTTGCTCTTTTCGCCAGAAGATAATGTCTTGAATGGCGTTTAGCATCGGGCGGTACTTGGTGCGCTGCCAGTGGACGTTATCGTTGCCCCGTTCGAGGAGAACCTTGATCAGTCGGTCAATGCCAGTCATGTCCCCCAGGAACTCCTTGAAGAAAGTGCGAAAGAACTCCAGCTCCTTCTGGGTGGACAGACCCTCGAGCAGTGGCCTCAATAGCCTCACCACCTGGCTGGTCGAGTTGCTGCAGCTTTGGGTGGGGAAATGTGAGCTTCGAATTGGGGAACTTGACTTGAGTTGAGGGGAGAAACACCTACAGAACCACATACTTTAATATATGAAGTGAATGTGTCTATGTTTGCCATGTTCCCAATGTATCTCCCCCTTCACTCCGACCACCCACTTTCTGCCACTTACTAGTCGCGGATGTGCTGCATGTTTTCCGAGACGTACTGCTTGGCCAGACTGTAGCCGACGGGGTTGTAGACCAGCGCCTTGAAGGTCCGCTTGGCGTTGTGCTTGCGGATGCCGTCGTCCTCGAAGGTCCACCGGAGGACCCGCTCCAGCCCGAAGGGGTTCCGGGAGCAGGCCAGAGCGGTGAGGAGCCACTCCTGCTCGGCGGCGGAGTTCGAGCGTTGGTACATCTTCTCCAGCTCGTCGCGGTCGTCCTCGGTGCCGAACTTGACCGCCGTGCAGAAGACGGTCTCCCGCTCCCGGACGGTCATCCAGCTGGCCTTCATCGCCGATCCCTTGGCGAACTCCCTGCGAGCCAGACTCACGCAGGCGGGCAGCTCGTACTCGCAGGCCAGTCGCAGGATCACCCGCCGGTGGGTCATGTTCCCCGAGGAGAGCAGCTGCGTGAACTGGCGCTCCACCAGCATGCGCATGTACGTCTGAACAGGGGGCAAAGGTGCTTAAGTAGTGGGGCTATAATCAGAACTAGCTGGGAAACCTGAACCTGATCGGGGGATTATTGCTCACTAAGTCGTTTATTCGACTTAGGAAATTTATCATTGTCAATTAAACAGTTTTTCTGTTTTGGATTAGAGTAATATTTCTAAGATTTAGAATGCAGTACCGCATATACATTTACTAATAGCCTTTAATCCGAATTTTTGATAAAGGAAAGGATTTCAAGATAATCCCTTCAAAGTAAACATAAGGGTACTAAGATGGTTTTTATGAGAGAATGTTTTGATTGATATTAAGATGAAGTATTTGTTAATTTGTAAAAATAACTGGTTTTGGAGATTGCAACGAATAATTAAAGGTCTTTACAAGTTTTTTCTTGAAAAAGGGGGATGATACTCAGATATTAAATATGGAATTAGAGGAGAACGATTATATATATCAGATCAGGTTCCCCAAGAGTCCCCTTCCCAAAAGCTGGCCCACCTTGTAGACGCGGTAGTTGTGATTTCTTTTAGCCACATTGTTGATCCGCTCGAAGTTCGGCTGAGTGGCCTCCCAGACGACGAACTCGTCCTCGTGACTCAGATAGCTCAGGATGCCCAAGGCCATCGGGTAATCCATGATGCCGCTCCAGGCGAGGTTGAAGACATCATCCACCAGCTGGGCACGGTTCACCCGGTGGATCGTTTTGAACTTCTTCGGATCGGAGAGCGTGGCGTTGAGCAGCTGCCAGTTGCGGAGGTCATAGTTCACGCGAAAGGGCGCCGAATGCCGCACATTGAACAGCAGCCAGTCGTTCACGCCCGCCGGCAGCTTCTCCAGCACCACGGTCTTGGGTCGCCGTCCCTGAAGGAATGAGCAGGTGAGCCAGCGGCTGGGTGGCACGTCCGGACATTCGGGGCAGGTGAAGCTGAGTGGCACCCACCAGCAGGGATTCGATTCCGACCGCTGGCGCGCCAGCGGACTGATGAAGAACCGCCGCTGGTCGACGAGCGCCGAGCGGAAGTGATAGTCCCGGGTGACGGTGAGCAGGGGATAGCCCGGCTGATGGAGCCAGGACTCCATGGTACGCGAGATGTTGAGTCCCTTGCCCAGGCGGCCATCCCGATCCACGTGCAGCTGGAGGACCTCCCAGAAGTCCGCCGAGGTGGCGCTGCTGTTGGCGTGGAGCACCAGGAAGCGGCGCAGCCCCTTCAGCCACGCCTCCTCGCCCAGGATGCGGTGCAGCATCTCGAAGAGAACGGTGGCCTTGCTCTCCGCATTCTCGCTGTACGCCGCCCAAATCTGCGACTCGTCGGCCACCGGCGAGGCCACCAGATCGGTGTTCACATGCGCATCGTGCTCGAGAACGGTGAGGTAGAGCCGCAGAGCATGGCGCTCCTGGTAGTCCCACTCCGGACGCAGTGCCTCCACTCCGAAGCGGGAGAGGTACAATGCGAAGGCGTTCTTCAGCCAGAGCTCGTCCCACCAAACGATCGAGACGAGGTTGCCGAACCACTGGTGCACCACCGTCTTGGCCACCGACCGCGCCACGCCCTGCTGGTCCCCCATGGAGCTCCGCTCGCTGTCGTACATGATGGCCTCCTCGCCGAAGGTTGGCATCCCCTGGCACTCTCTCGCGCTGAAGGCGAAGTTCGGCAGCGCCAGCTGGTCGATCTTGGGCTGCCGGAAGGCGATGTCGAAGAGCTTCTCGTAGAAGGCCAGCAGAGGCGCCACCACCAGGTTGGCGAACTCCGTCTGACGCAGTGCATCCGGTCGGGCCCACGTGCTGATCGTGCAGTTCGGCCGCTCCCTCGAGACGAAGCCCGCCTTCTCGAACTTGACGATCGCGAAGGCCACCAGGTAGGTCTGCATCGGGGGGCTCTCCTGGAACTGCGTCCACACGAAGTCGCTCAGCCGGGCACTTTGGGGGGAATGCTATTAGTCCGGTATGGCACTTTCTGTTCGCCTCTTGGTGGGAACTAACCAAGAGCCTTTTGGAAGGACTAAGCCTGACTGGAAAAGTAATGTACCCCTAGAACTCCTCGGAAATCTTTCAATCCTTGGGACTTCTGATCGCAAAATATAATGTAGAACACTTTTAGGTTTTAGGTTTTGGGTGTACTACCAAAGTAAGACTATCAAGATGGTAACTGCTAGCATAGCATTTAATTCACTATGAATTCCAATAGAAATTTGAGAAAATTAGAAGAATTTCAACTTGCAACACATTCAACTCGATCACAAGTTGGGCAACTATTTGTCCTATGTATCGACAATTTACCAACACATTATTGCCTATTGAAAACTTATTAGAAATTTGCAACTCAAAAGTTGTGTAATTATGACACATAATTATCGATTGCTCTGCACTCAGTAAATGCTAGCAAAAGAAAATGGCAAAAGTTACACAGCAACATATTAAGATAACTGAATTGGAATTTAAAAAACATACTTTCATCATAAATGAAATAAATATTAATTTGTTAAGCATGCAAAAGATTTCGCATTACAAGTTATGCCAGTATGACCAATAAATAGTAAATACTTTTCTAAGGTTAAGCCATTTGTAGTGGGTTTAATCATGTTAAACTACAAACTTCGATGGACTAAGTTGCTGTAAGTAATTTTGGTCAATTAAGCCATTTTGAGTTATGACTTTGGTGTACAACAAATTGGTTATGCTCCTAATCTCAGCTTCTATCTCTGAAATTTTAAGTAGCAGAGAAGTTAGAATGGCTTTGGATAAGCTATGGAGTTTCCAACCCAAAAACAACTCATTAATTTTTAGCAATCCCACCGTTGTAACCCCAGATTCCCCGGCAGAAACTACTCACTGGCGGATGGTGCGTTTGACGGGCATGTTGGACAGGGCGCGGTACTGGTTCGGATGGGCCAGGTTGATGGCGAATGGAGTGCGGAATATGGGATCGTCGAAGCAGGGAAAGGCATCCCTGGCATAGTGCGGCTCGAACTGAGTGGCGGCAAACCACTGGGCCAAAGTGGTGTTGTCATCCATGTAGGTGTTGCTGTAGAAACCGGTGTTGTCGTGCCGCAGGACACTGGTAAAGGTCATCTTCAGCACGTACGTAACGTTCACCTTGAGGGCGCTCTTCAGGTGAACGGTCACCCTGCTTAGCTTGTCGTTCATCTCCAGTCGGTTGACTTTCGCCGCCTCTTCCCCCTTCGGACCCACGGTCACCGATTTCCCCATTCCGATCTCCAGTCCGCGAGCATTGAGCGCCAGGACCTTGGTGGCTTTCTCCGATCGGAAATCGATGGCCACGACTCCACCGAAGGGTTGGTACGGCTGGTTGATCCGCGTCAGGATGTCCACGCGATATCGAAGGGGCACCAACCACCGAGGCAGTCGAGCCACCGCGGTGCGACCCTCCAGCAGCGACAACCACGCCGTGAGTATTGCCAGGTGGCTCAGGAGCATCACTTCGAAGATTGGCTTCCGGGGGGTTTGTTTACTCATCAGGTGGAGGCGTGTCGAATTCAAGATTAGCTAGGGTTTTCGGAAGACACTCAAGCGTCTTTGAACCCTTTTTGTACCCAGTAATTCCAATCTATAAAACATTTTAAGATCTAAATTGTCTACTTGGTTCTCTTATCGAAACACGAAATCTTTTTTAACAATTTTTGGGTTTTGATTACCGCAGTAACTCATATTTTCAACCCGAACATTTCAAAAATATAAATATACGAACAGAAAATGTAAGCATCCGCTCATTTAAAGAACTTATAAGTTTTTATGAGTTATAGAAATTATCAGTGGACATACAGAATTTGGTGTACCTATATTCTACATGATACAAAGTAGAACGGACATTAAATTTCTGCATTACAGATTTACTGTTTTCCTGAACTATTTAATTTTGAAAAATGAATAGATAGATAATAAATTTCGCATACATTTATAATGCTTACCTCCAGGCATTTTAATTGAATAGTAATTGAATACCCGCCGGCAGGGGAATAAATTTAAATTCTCTACAAACTTTGTTTTATGACCAACTATTTGATTTTAGTCATGTGGAATGCTGTGTTCGTTGCACTTGTTCAATAAGAATTTCCTTATTATGAGCAGCCAGAGTGAAATACGAATGACGCATTTGCGAAGCTTTTGCAATAGGAAAACATTCCATATTCCGTTCCGTTGAGCTAAAAGTTACTTTCCGCCTGGCTGCGCCTAAATGTAATTACGACAAATTAGACACGAAGGCTGCATTAACAGTTTATGCATAAATTTGCATTAAATTATGAAAGTTATTTGTTGCCAATTACGCTTATCAGTAAGTTAATTAAAAGCAAACAACTGTCAACAAAATTAATAACTTTTGAAATTATTGCTCATCCGCCCTGTGGGTAATTGATTTTATTCTATTACTTTCATTAAAATGTTTTTGAACTGTCTTACATTTGAAAAATGTATTCAGATCATGAGTATATCATAAAAAGTAATACAATAAATATTGTATTATTATGATGCTTAAAATAACTTTCAATTTAATAAAAAAGCAACATGTTTAATGTATTCTTTTAAACTTTCTGTCTTAGCTGGTTGATTGGGAATCCTAAGAGTTATATTTCCTTTAAATATTCAATCTAAAATAAATTGCTTAATATTGCGACACTTTCGATCCCTTTCTATTGCGACCAGACTTTCCCACAGAAGACGCAATAATTTGAATCGTGTAATGCCCTTCGATGGCATCCGAATCAGAATCAGAATTTGTGGTTTCCAGCTGTTCTGCAGATGGAAGGAATCCAATCGAGTTCGCACACACAAAGCATTATGTTTGGGGGCAAACAGGAAGAAAGGGGCGACAAACCACAGCACAATGTCATTAGCGCATGTTGCTCCCTCTTTCACTACTATCTCCCATTTGTATTTATGTGTGCGTATGTGTGTGTGCTGGATGTGTTGTGCGTTGTGTGTGTGTGGGCCGGGCAATAAATTTCCAATTTTCGTGCAATTTTCGCAGAGCAGGCGGCATACAATACCTACCGAGGTGAAATGGGGTTTTGGGCGTTGGGTTTTTAGGGCCAGCCTGGCGTACTCATAAATACATTGACCAATAACATAATTTTTGCTTGTGTTGGTATATTGCCAAATGACCTCGTTACCCCGCCGGGGGAAAGTCGGTGGGAAAGGCGAGGAAAATCACAGCCACAACACGGCGCAAAAAGGCGACAAAGGCACCGAACGTGCGGCATATGTTGCTCCCCCTCTGTGTTGTTGGATGGGTTGCAAGGGGCAGGGGCAGGGGAAGGAGGAGGGCGGAGAAGGCTTGGGGGCGTGTCCCTGGCCCCAACGGAAGTCGCTTTGCTTTGCTCGCAGTGCGGCATTATAATTAATGGGCATGTTGGGGCATGCGAACCCCGACCTTTCGTACGATTCGGGGTATTAAATGTAACGATGCAGGGACGTCGGGACGAGACAGTTGGCTATGAATGCGACATGTTTGGTGTGTGTGACGAACACCCAAACACCCGGACACCCAAACAGCCGGACACCCAAACACCCAAACACCCAAACATTCGAAACACCCAAGCAGCCCAAACATCCAGCCAGCCAAACATCCAAACACTGCCCACAAGGTGGAACTCGTGTGGCTGCTGCTTCTCCTGCTGCTGCTGATGATGATGATGATGATGATGATGATCACATGCTATTAAACCGCAATACAATGGCAATTTTCAAATAAATGATTTATGGCCCTGGACATGACACACACAGCTGTCGAGTGTGTGCACTAGTGAGTGTGAGTGTGCATGTGTGTGTTCGCACTGCTGGCAAATGCCAAAACTGCCGCAGTCCGATGCTGCCATAAACTAAACGCCAGAGACTGGGCCACAAATTCAAAAAAAAAAAAAAAATAGAAAAAAATCGGAAAAAAGAAATCTAAAATCTGAAATCAGAAATTCAGTGAAAGAGGCATGAAAGCCAGCAGAAAAAAAGCGAGAGCCAAATGCCGAACGGAAGGTCAGAGGTGCTGACTGAGATGCTGAAAGTGGATGCTGCCGGGGTTTTGATGCATGGCCCAAGGTTCAGTAAGTCGATTTCACTTGGCCAATTGTTCTGCTCTCTTCTGTTCTTTGCCGTGATGTTCTGTGCTGTGCTGGGCCGTTGTGGCTCCAACTGCAGTCAGTGAATTATGCCGGGCCAATTGCCACTGCCACACATGGCCACTGCCAGCCAAGAGTTTCAGTCGAGTTCGACTCGCTTGCACTTTTCAGAAGCCATCCGAGTCGTTCAATGGGGTCCACTCTTTGTTCGGCGATAGCAACGATAGAAGTGTCTTTATTTTCCAGTTCAGCCAACTTTATTAATGGTGTGTGTCCCGAAAAAAGTTATATGTGTGGGACAAATTCCTCTAGGAATGAGCATCATATGTATCTTTTAGTATGATCACATAATTTTATCACTTTCTCTGTTTAATCTAAATTTTAAAATACATTAGGAATGAAATGTATACATTTTATATTTTATATATAACAAAATACATATATATTTTTATATATTATATTATTCAATAAGGCTGTCTTTATTTTTCAGTTTAGTTAACTTCATAAGAAGTGTGTCCACCGAATAAACATTATTATTATAAGTTTGTAAGTGGTTTAGTATCTAGTCTGATCATCTAATTTAATGCTGATTCGCTTTAATAAATTAATTATAGACACTAATTAAAAATCTAATTGCACTTTGGAAAGTACTGCATATAAATTTGACATTTATTTAGTATTAAATTGTTGCATAAACTGTGCTTTCATTATCTTGTTTTGGGTTGGGTTTCCAACATTAGAACTCTAAACAAGTTGTCTGCTAAATATAATCCGCTTAATTCCGCCATTAAATGCATTTACTATCAGAAAGGGGAAATTGAGTAGTTATTCAAATTACTAATTATTTTTACTAATTTTTTTATTGAGTATCCGAAAACTCTGCAAGCCTTTATGTGTTTAATCAAATATTAAATTAAATTTATTCTAAAAGAAATGCAGCTGCGTCATCAAATTTCCTTGAATCTCAAATAGGAAATCTAGATGATTTTCACCATTTATAAGCATTCTGCTCATGTTGATGGGCGAAATCTTCGTGGAATCGAGCTCCTCCTGTCCAAATCGCACTCGATTGATGGAGCTGATGTGCGAGTGGTGCTCAGATGCCACTCAGGTGTGCTCGTCATCCGCCATATCTGCCATACTTTCCATATCTGGCTCGCACATCACGTGTGCTGCTGGCTGGCTGGCTGGCTGGCTGGCTGGCAATCTGTTGATTTGGCCACTTCGAATGGCCCACTTTGCGAGTCACGCGGTGGCAGTAGAGGAAGAAACTGGGAGATGGAAGCTGGGATCTGGGAAAATGACGATTCCGTCTTGTGATGGCTCCCCTGCAGCCGCCATTAAGTCATAACATTTATATTTCCCTTTTATACCTCGACAAATCAGCGCAGAGAAGTGGAAGTGAAAGGAAGAGCTGAAGTGAACGGCGAGGGGAGCTGTCAGTTGCAAGAAGGCGAACGGTACATTCACCTGTCCCAAGCACACAGATACACAGATACACAGTTACAAAGATACACAGATACAGAGATACACAGTAACACAGATACACAGTTACACAGACACAGAGCCATCCACACTGATGTCTCCATTTAGTGTGCGTTGTGCCATTGTTGCTGCTGTTGTAAATTTTAATGCAAAACTCGTTTATAAACACACAACCGGCAACGAGGCGAGAGAAAGGGCATATTCAGCGGGAAAGGCAAACGACATCGTCATTTTCTGCTCAAACGTTTGCGTGACAGCGCCACCCACTAAGCACCACCCATCCACCACCCACCCGGCAAGCACCACCCAGCCATCATTTTACCACCCAAAGAGCCACCCGCCAAGTTGGCTGCCATTTTGACAGATGCCAAACGCAAAGCGAGCAGCAAAGTCCCGCATTTTTTATTTGTCTTCTTGTTGTTTTGCTCGGCTGGAAGGCAAATGGCCAAAAAGCTTAACAAATCATCGAAAGAGGGGGATACCCTATACATATTTACACGAATAACCTATCAAAAATGTTAAATACTACTCAAAATATGTTCAACTTTCTTTTATGTTTCCTCATATGGTATGTTTGTAAAGGAATTAAAAATATTATGAACGTTCTTCAATGAATGTTATTAAAACTTGTTTCGGAACGTACAAAATCTCTGTATTGTTTTATATATTAGTTTGTGGCTACGGAATCGTAGCTTTAATATGTTTGCATATCAAAACAAATACACCTATTTGAATACATTTTATTTGGTCCAATAAAATGCGGTCGGCAAATACCAATTTGAACTTTTCAATAAATAATCGAGAAACATGTTTACCGTGTTCTTGTTACCTCTTTTATTTCGCACAGATTATGGGGGGAAGTTAATATTGCGAATTTATAATGCCATAAATAACCAATGGACTTGGTTTTCAAAAACGAAAAGCGGTATGGAGAATGTCGAGCTGGGAGTTTTCCAGGGTGTCGACAGCAAATGAGAAGGGAAACCTGCGAGGCAAAGTTTACGGCTCGGACCGTCGTTAGTTGGCTTTTACGACTCGTAACGCTCCTAGCCCCCGACTTCCAACCCCCAACAACCAACCCCCAACCCGTGACCCCTGACCCCCAACCCCGCCGGTAACCATAAAGATTAATACGAAGGAACCAACGCCATCCGGAGCGATAACAGTTGTGAGGTCATTGCAATGGCTCGCAAACTGCGCCAATCGTTATTATTGCAATTTCATTAGACGAAAGCCACAAAAATGAAATAATTAATGGCAGACTGAAACTGAAATAATTGCCAGCGAAAATTACCCGGCGGAGGGGATTCTAGGGGGGAAGTTGGTGTTGGCGAGGGGTAATGATTTATAATTTATCGAATCGAACAAAATTATAACAATTAAATGGCGAATTTCGATTGCAATGCCAATCTAAGCGGTCAATTAATTACTAATGGGATTAACAATAGGAGACAAAAAAGCTACTTAAATAAGCGAAAATGGAGGAGGGGCAACCGTAAACGATTTATTCAAAATTTAACCTCATTTTGTTGCACTCAGTTGAAGGGGATCTAATCGGATAATACATAGTATATTCGACTTTAAATGAATTTATAAAGCTGCTAACTCCTTATTAAATAGTTGTTATGTTGTTATCAGAAAAGACATAGACAGCTGATTTTTATACGAGCAAACTTATCCTTTAGAAAACTAGTAGAACTGCACAAGCGAGAAAGTAATTTAAATTGGTATAAGTACGAGTAAATTTCACACATCACAAATGATACTTTATTTTTATTGCTTATTGCATTTGATGCATCTGTTTATTTTAATCTAAAACAGAATTTCAAGTTATTATCGGAGAGGAAATAATTGGAGATAATTGGGGAATAAAAATAATATTCAACTATATATCTGACTCGCTAAACTTCTTCATTTAATATTGCAATGACTAAAACAACTATAACCACATACTATCTAAAATCGTGGACATTCGTTTAACTTATTAAAAAA